TTCAGCCTCTTTTTTGAGGGAAAAGAGTACGTCTTACACCCCGAAAAATACGGTAATAATATTGTAACTATCAGATGTACCGGTCGTCCTTGACCTACAACCACAACTGAGTCCAAAACTTTTGTTGCTAAGTGAGACATTTGTTAAGTGAGTTTTGCTTCACTTTACAACCTTCCTTGCCACCATTGTTAAGTGAATCGCTTCAGGCATTAAGTTAGTAACAGGGTTGCTAAGTGAATCTGGCTTCTCCATTAACTTTGCTTCTTGGAAGGTCACAAAAGGAGATCACATGACCCTAAGTCATGCAATGGTCCTAAATATGAGACAGTTGTGAAGCATCTTAATTTTGATCACGGACGTAAGTGTGAAAAACAGTTAGAAATCACTTTTTTCAGTGCTGTTGTAATTTTGAACGATCAATAAATGAACTCTTTTTAAGGAGAGGATTATCTGTATTGTCAGCAATAGTCATAGAAAATACTTTGTAATGCTTTTCATATTGCCTATTACCCTAATTTAACTGATTGGCTTGAATTCTTCAATTGCAATATGTAATCACCTGGCTAAGTCAGCAAGAAAACATAAAATATCGAAATGTTTAAGAATTTTCATTCCACTGTTTTGGAAATTCATACTTACCAACACTGGGCTAGGAGGCATTTGAGTCGCTACTTAACTATGTTGGCTGAAATATTGCAAGAAGAATTTTGATGCTGGCCATGCAGGACAGAATGATCTCACAACGTAAAAGCAGCTCCAGAGTCACCTCCTTAGCACCTAAAAGATACAAGCAGAACCAAGAAGCAATAATATATTCTCTGAAATTTTAATGACTCTCTTTGAGGTAGTACATTTGGAAAAAAAACTTCTTACAAGGCAAAAACAAGCTATTTATAGTGTTGACAGGCTTCATTCTTTTTTAAAATATATAGAAAGGAAGGTAATCTTTCCAAATGTTTTATTCTGGTACTTGACATCTGGCAGACTGGCATAGCACAATATGCCTGAAAGAAAAAAGATGCTTGAAATAGCAGCAATTGGCATTTGTATATATAGGTGGCAAATGCAGTAAAAATTCCAGTGCCTTCAAATGCACCAAGCTTTAGATGTGCATTTTCATCTGCCTCTTGCACCAGAATGAGGCTTTTTAAAAAAAATTGAGACAATACATCACAAAAGAGATTGCTTTAGGTCTCCCAGTAGATCTGCTATTGCAGAACCCATTAGGCCAAAGTTTTTAAAGCAGCAATCACAATAGAATTCATTGTGCATTTTCAATCACAGAAATACTCCCATTGAACATGTGAAATAATTTTGCCTTCGAGCTGAGGAACGGGCAGAATTTTTCTCCACAAGGAAGAAAAGGGATCCTTTGGGATGCCAAATAGTACTGAAAAGGAAACCAGCCAGGTCTGTAAGAATTTGGCTCCTTGCTTAAAATCTCATTGCAATACAAAATATTTCAAGCCTGAATGAGGAGTATAAATAGCAATAGCAATAGCAGTTAGACTTATATACCGCTTCATAGGGCTTTCAGCCCTCTCTAAGCGGTTTACAGAGTCAGCGTATTGCCCCCAACAACAATCCGGGTCCTCATTTTACCCACCTCGGAAGGATGGAAGGCTGAGTCAACCCTGAGCCGGTGAGATTTGAACAGCCGAATTGCAGAATTGTGATAGAGATGAGCCTAGCATCCAGTATATTAATATGGAAGATTTCATTCTTAAGAACTATATTTCTGAATATCTTTCCAAAATGTTTCAACCTTAGCAGCCATCTTCTAATTCACAGCGACACCCACTCATTTAGCAACCATTTGAACTTGCAATGCTGCCAAACACGTGATAGTTGTAACTGGACCTCATACGTATAGCTATCACTGCTTCCCTGTGATCAGATTATTGTGATTTCGGACCTTTCCTGCAGGCTTCCCGCAAGCAAAGACAATGGAGAAGCCAGCAGAAAGTCAGAAGTCATGGTCACATGACATCTTCACTTACCAATTGCACAGCCTCTTTTAATGATGACAATTGGGAGTTCCGGAAGTGTTGTTGCTATGTGGACAGGTTAATATGATTTCTTGACTTATAATTGCATTGCTTAAATACTTCACTCTCAATTAGCATCGTTAAACCAAAACTGTATGTATCTAGTAACAGAAGCTCATAAACCAACCTCATAAAATGTAGTCTATGCATGCCAACAAAATGAGCTCACAAAGTATAGCTTTCCTCCAATTGGTGCCCTTAAGAGGTTCTTTAAAACCACAACTTCCAGAATTTCTAATCACTACCTAAGATGACTAGGAATCAAAACATTTCTAGTTGATTAAGCCCATTTGAGAAACTATTTTTTTATGAAACCAAGTTCAAGAGACAGAACATCTGAGAAAAACTCATCTTTCCCTAAGGAAGATTATCTCAGAAAAAAGAGTAATAAACACACTTGTAGCAGAATGGTAGATGACTGCTATCTATTAGATAGATATAAAATCAAGCTCAAAATAAGCATACCATCTGTGTATAAAAGCTGTGGTCTACTGCAGGGGTGTCAAATCCGCGGCCTGTGGGCCGGACGCATCACCCTCGGTTTCACAAAATGGAATCACCATACATCAAGTGACAACGTTTGACACCTGTGGTCTACTGGATCATTCCTCTTAGTAGAGAGATTTTATTTACCCTCCACATTTCAAAACTGTTTTGTTCACCAAAACGTTCTAGAAAGTCCTAGGTTCCATTGCTCTTTTGATAATTTCCAGCAAAAAATGTCTGGGGTACACTTCAGTTTGTGATGTGACTTGGTTTGAGATATCTGAAAGAATTCAGTTTAATATCAAGAAAAAATGAACTGCTAAGCACAATGACACTAATAAGCAGAATTAGGCAATAAATCTATCAATATAAACACCAGCAAGGAATAAAAATCCACTTTGAAACCAGACTGTTGTCTTGCACGGCCTAAACAAGACGGAAAGGCACAAGTGAAATTAAAATGCACAGTATCCACCTGGGAACAAATTCTTTGCTTTTTATACCCTGTTGTGGAACTTGAAAGAGCTACAACGCAAAGCTCAGCTCACGAGGGACACCTAGTTGACATCTGCATTCAGGCAGAAAGTGATCTCCCAATTACAGATATGTTTCCCCCTTCCTTCCATCCTTCCTTCCTTCCCTCCTTCCTTCCTTCCTTCCTTCCTTCCTTCCTTTCTGAGGCATGCTTTACAGGCTTGCCTTACTTCTACTGAAATGCTCTAAAAGCCTTGTGGTTTTCCTGTGGCTCTAATTTATTCCAGGGTTACAAATCAGTTGAAAAATGAGTGTTATTAAGATATTACCTTAATAATATCTATGATGTCTACATTCACTAGCAATGATAAGTTAATAACAAGTAAAGATCCCATGATGGGCAAAATCATAGTCATAGTTATAGATTAGAAGAACTGCCAGAGGTTTTAAAATGATCTTCGGATAATGATAAAACAGGGTTCTAGGTGATCTTTCATGTAGATCTGGATTCATTGACATGTACTTTTCACAGCAATTGATATCTACTGTTGGAGGAAGATCTTAAAATTTAGCTGTTGTTCCAACAGTAAAGGCAAGCAAGAATTTCAACAGTACCATTTCTGACAGCACTTTAAGGCTCTGATGACTGAATACTTTTGCATACCTAAAAACTTCCTGTACATATAACACTAAACATTTTAGGAAGCATTTCTCACAACCACTTCTAATTTTGTACATTGGGTACTTTGTTTTGTTACTAACCAATTAGACATTACCACCTGCTTGCAGTAATCCAATTGGAAACTATTAAAAGGCATTAGAAAAATTTCACTTAAAAATAATAAACTTTACCACATTTTTCTCAGGCGATTAAGTATAATTTACAAAATAATTTAAGTAGGTAAAAAATCACAATACTATTTTATTTAAGAAAATTTATATGGTGCCCAACTCACTCTCAATGACTCTGGGAGGTTTACAAAGATAAATATCCAATATACAAACGAAAAAAAAACAATAACTCCCCACAATATTCTTACATCACTGATGTTTACTCTGTGTGCATTTTGCTGTCTAATGAACAAAAGAACTATGTTCAAAATGATGTCTTATTTTTGTTCATTGAAATAAAGTTGATTATTCCTATACTTTAATGTTTAAACATATATTTTCTATATGTTCTGATGTAGGATCTCTAATATGAATAAGGAAGCAGTGTTTATATTGCACTTTAATAATTACAGAATGCTGATATAGTTGTTGGATATAAAATATAAGAATATGAACAGGAGGAAACTGAACAACTGCAGAAGCCTTATATATATTAGTAAAATAGAATTGTAGCTCTAAACCAAGCCATAGAGTTAGCAATGAGAGAAGGTGGGCGTTTATCAATAGCAGGTTGAACAAATTAAACCAAAGAGCACCCACATCGCTGTTGAAATCCAGGGTGCAACAATCAAGCCATTGGGCCATTTTTCCCAACTCGGAGCTTCCAGATGTGTTGGGCTGACAATCTTGCCATCATCAGCCATCACAGTCCAAATATGTCTTGAGTGTACCGAGTTAAGTAGCCTTCTTTGCAGCATTTTTCTGACTATTATTAAAAACCCAATATTGGTCACAATCAAATTTATCCACACAGTTTTTCTCTACTTCAAATTTCTGAAATTAGCTCTGGAGAGGAAGAACAACTCTGCTCAGGTATGAATTTCTTGCAGTGTCATAAGCTAGCTGTTATTTTAGCACCAACTTTCTCACTGTACTGCTAAAAGGAAAATGCAAATGTATTTCAAGAATCACATTAGGACAAATCAACATTCCCAAGATGTAACTTTTGGCTTTCAATTATTTATTCTTCACTTTTTTGAATGCATTTAATTATCAGTATATGGGGAATATTAAGAAGCAAATCTTATTTAAAAAATTAAAATATATAGCACACATGAAACATGTTTCTGAGCAACCAATCAAAGAGCAAAAAGGGAATGATTGTCAGGGACAAGAGACTTAAAAATGCTCTTCATACTAGAATGAAGAATTGCCTGGCTCTAATAGAGGAGTCCGACTTTCAAATGCCACTGGAAGACCTTCAACAGACTTCACCAGGCAGAAATTGTACAACTGATGCCTTGAAAAATAGAAGAAGGACAACTTCCTGTAGCAAGACTAGTAGGTGGTAATGATGGACTGATGATTGCTCATTCCAACCTTTTGGACTGTGAAACTATCTCTGAGAAACATGAATTAGGGTTATGACAGAACTATTGTGAACACTCATATGCTTTGATAACAGTCTCTTACTGCTGTTCACATGGGAATAAGTGATGCAACCAAACACAGCTGCAACTGGATCCTATTATGAAACTTTGCAAAGGAAACGATAAGTTTTGAAACAAAGAACTTGATGAAAAAAGATATAAAGAACTCTGAGATAGAGATAATTGTTCTGCTGCTGTGCTGACTGAATCAGAACTGAAGGAACAGGAACTGATGAACCAGTTTATGGTTTTGAGAAGAGCATTGCTCACAAAGATTGGAAAATATATCCAAAAGATGTCAAGCTTCACAATCAAGAGGGCTTCAAAATTAAATTTTGGTGTAGTGAGAAATTGAGATGATCAATGTTAAGAATTGTAACACTGTTTCTTATAACAGGAAAGAATGTTACTGGAACATTAGCTTACAATTTTCAGCATCTTTATACTAATGTCCTGAGGAATGAAAAGGATAAACTCAAGTTTCTAAAGAACTTTACATGATTTTAGA